TTTTTTTTTTTTTTAAAGCTATTTTTTTAATTTAAAAAAGAATCTCTGATATAATAGAATCTCGATTTTCTCTTTCGATATCTCGCGCGTATATCTGTCACATCAGTCATATCGTTCAAGTAAGCTTCAATTCTTGTCACTGTTATTCACCCCTATACTATTTCATTCGTTTTATACCCAGGCAATAACTTGAGAATTTATCGTTTTCAAATTATCACAAAATCATTTATACCTCTCTTCTAATTTCCTGGATTGTAAATCAGTCGGTACTATAATTTCCAAGTATAGTACTTTAACAACTTAAATGAACCGATATCCAAGACAGCAATTACTCGAGCGGTTCGTTAAATGCTTACACAGCCGCTAACGTAAACCTTCCAGATGCTAATGATTCAATTTCTCAACGCGTATCCACACTTTCACACCTATCTTACACGCGTATGCTCGTTTTAATTACTCATCTCCTTTGCATACGTTTATCTTTTCTTGATTACAATTTAGGCATTCGCACGCATCGATGGATCTTCTTGTAGATCTCGTTCTCGATCTATTTCCCTATCTACGGCGCATGCAAACCAAACGCTCAATCCTCCGTAACATTGTGGTTAATGTCCCGTTTGATAGCTCGACCAATCGATCAAGAGATCAAGGCCAACGCTACCTACGATCGGACAACGATCGATATGTTTCCGTGATCCACTTATTACGCCATCTTTCGCGCTCATAACCCGCTAATAATTACTTAATTATTATCCAATCGCATCCTTTTATCTCGCAGATTTATGTACGTTCTATCTCTAAGTTGTTATTAACACGGCCATTAAACCAATATTGACGAGCAAAATCTTTTTTCCACGTGTGTGATGTAAGATATAAGATGTATGATTGATTAATTATTATCACAGATATTATTTTCATGTAAATATAATCTTTCATCCTTAAATAACTTTTCTCGTCAACTTGTTTCTTTTTTATATATTTTGGAAATAAGATTGAACGCAAAGTTTCTGATATTGAATTATGAATAAAATTTTCGAAATCCAGATTGGCCATGGTTAATTAATGGGAAGCTATTGATAATATATTTTTCCCTTAGAAACTTATCCTTAAGTTTCTAAGTGGTACCTTAATCTTGATCTCGAACGAAGGAAGAAAGAATCTCAATCTTCTTCGATCATAATTATTCGATCGAATGATTCTCGCGTGTCATTCAGAAATCCTCACAATCGTCCTTCGCGAATCGGTTCTTTCTAGGGAATTAAGATGACTTCGGTGAAAGCAACGCGTCAGAAATCACTTCAAAATGATTCTTATTGGAAGCAACGACAGAGGAAGATTGGTGGGTGCAACGATCTCGATTCGTATCGATCAACGAGAGTAAAGATGGCCGTGGTATCTCGACGAAAACGGTAATTATTATTTACGCGAAACGATCGTAGCTTCTTGAAAGATCGAAAAGCCAAGGGAAACGGATAATAGATAAACGAGATACGCGGTGTTTCACGGTCGATGATTCCGCCTCTAATCGATTATGTTATTTTTCATCGTTTCCCTCTCTTCCTCTCTCTCTCTCTCTCTCTCTCTCTCTCTCTTCTCGTGATCGAACAGTTTTCATATCGGTTGAGAGGATCGCGGAGAAAACGCGGGACGAACGATTATTCCTGATTTCCCGTAAATGAAGGGGCTTCGTTAATGCGAGAAATAATCGATTCGATCGATCGATCCGTCTCTTCTACCCTGTATTATAATCCATCGTATAATTGTTTCCTTCTTTAAATGATTCTTTTGTATCGGTTTTCGATCATTCCTGTTAATTGCGAGGATTAACCTCTTGCCTTGCATGCAATTGCTATTATATGCATTTGCGAAAGAGCTTTAATCCTAACTATATGATAAGATTGTAATAAAAGTTTGAAAAGTGTTGTATCAATTCTGTAATTGTATTTTTTGATCTTTGTCAATCTCTATCGAATAAAGAATATTTTGAAATCCGATATTATTTTTAATTCCATTTTCATCCAAAGTAATCGATTCAAAGATTATCATCAATGATGTTTCAAACTATTTGCACTTACAATAATATAACATTTTTTCCCCTTATTTATATTTACGAGATATATGCTGACAAAATACGAATTCGAAGAAATAATTATTTAAAAAGGACAGAAACCTAGATTTCCTCTCCCCGTAAAAGATGACAGATAACCGTATCCTCGAAAGGACACTTGGCTTGCGAAAGGAAAGTTGCACAACACGTGCACCACCAAGCGCAACGATCATCATCTCTCTGTTCGAAAAACATTGAAGCGTGGAGGATCGACGTAAAACTCCGCCGAGAGAGGGAAAAACAACCGTTCTCGGAGGGAATACAACGGTCAGAGTTCTCGGTGGCCGGCGCGAGACGACAAAAAGAAAAATAAAAAGAGGAAAGGCCGATGCACAAAGTTTGCAGCGTGCACCGTTGATCGCTCTTGCTCGCCGCCGCCGAGCAACCGTCCCCTTAAGCAACTAGAGCGAAGTAATAAAAATAATCACTTACAATCTAATCTTCCAGTCCATCCTCGTGGCAGCCATGACGCGCTGCTCGGCTCTACGGACCTGCACGACCTTCGTTCGCCCTCCTAGCTTCTCGAGCCAGTCCCTGGAAACTCACTGGAACAGGGTCTCTCACGAATCACCAGTGCACTCTGTCTTCCCTCTCGTCGAAAACGAAAGCGCGGTTAACGTAATATTACGCGTGTTCGCGCACGTGTATAGTTACGTATGTATATATATATATATATATATATATGTGTGTGTGTATACGAAATATGCTCGTCGGTGGCCGCGCTTGAACCCGTTCACCAC